TGATATTCATTTGACATGCACATCATGGAACTTTCTCAGCGACATTAGTGATAATATTATCAACACATTTAGTGCTAATCAAATTCAAGATATGTTTTCATTAAAAGAGTCTGATTGTAATTTTTTAGATTTTGAAAATATTGAGTATGGAAGACCATATTTTTTACCATTAGGTTGGTTTCAATAAAGAGCAATTCAGACAGATATTGAATGAAGTGCCTCAGTTTCTGAATCTTAAAAAAGGATCAACCATATTAGCTGCTTATTTAATTAAACTTAGGACTGGAGACTCAGATGATAGATTATCAACGCTGCTGCAAATTCCTAAAACTACTTTAGGTACTCTTCTGAGTAAAGCTAAAAGTCTCTTATATGATAATTTTGTGCCCCACCACTTAGGACTTAATCATATAAATAAGCAGCAAATAATTGAAAGGAATCTCCTTATTCCAAATGCATTGTTTGGTAATTATAATAATGAAATAAAACCTATAGTTGTTGCAGATGGCACCTATGTTTATGTACAAAAAAGCTCAAATTATAAATACCAAAAAAAGACATACAGTTTGCATAAATATCAAAACTTAGTTAAACCATTTTTGTTTGTTTGTACAGACGGATACATAATTGATGTTTGGGGCCTCTATCCATCGACAATTTCAGATGCTGAAATAATTAATAAAGAATTTACAAATGCATCTGTTCTCAGACAGTACTTTGAATCTGGAGATGCATTTATATTGGATAGGGGCTTCCGGGATGCCTTGCCCTTACTTAATGAATGTGGCTATAGGACATATTTACCATCTTCTTTGCAACAGGGTGAATCCCAACTCTCAACCCTCGAAGCAAATAAATCGCGAATAGTTACAATATGTAGATGGGTTGTAGAAGTTGTTAATGGCAGATTTAAGCGAGATTTTAAGATTTTTCGCCAAGATTTTTTTAATAGAGCGTCAAAAAATATAATGGTACACTTTGAAGTGGCTGCTGCCTTAATAAATGCTTTCCACCCACTTATTGCAAATCGTAGTGATGCTCAGGAAATTATTCAAAAAATTAATCAGTACATGTATGTGGAAAACAGCTTAAGTAACTATGTGATTAGGAATAATGTAAATCGTCGTAGGGCGCAGTTCCAATCAATAGATGTAAGTAAAGATAATGTTAGTGAGTTCCCTAATTTAACATACAGCGAGCTTATTCTTGTCTCCTTGGGCCCATACTAAATCAAACAGGCCCGTTCTTACTATGGGGAGCATGTGAGGGAAAATGGCTCATATGTCATAGAAGTGTGTAGAGAGTTGGACATTGCCCTACAGCAAGAGCTGTCAACATCAGACTCAACCTGGATGTTAAGAGATAGAATAAAATCCAGGCATATTAGCACAAGAATTTATTTTGTGTATATATTGTTCGACAGCTTTTTAAGTGGAAGGGACGCTATAATCCAATATTATTGCTCATGCATCGTTAGCAAAAGAACGGTTGGTTAACAATAATGAGACCTTAGAACTTATATCTCAAGGTGGGTGGCGCATTTACGTTGTAGATGTCTATGGGCTCCAGTAACCACTTAACACCAGGTGGGCTGTGAGCTCGTCCATCCATCTAAGCAATAAAAAAAAAGAAAAAAAAAAAAACCATGAGCATAATATGGTATCTTGGTTGGGCACGCCATCAGGGTAGTCAGTTGCCTCCTGCACAATTTTTAGATACCATACTGTTATACTACGATAATCGTAACGAAGATGATGATTAAAACCATTTACCACACTTGTTTTTTTATTTTAACATATTGCGTCAAATCCCCTAGTAGATACAATATTAACAAATGCCAGCCAGGCATTAATTTATGTGGGCCTTAGTTCAGTTGCAGTTTTCAGTAAGATCAACCAAATAAATCTGATGACACCACCTACGCTTGTTATGTACCTACCTAAAACCTTGTCGCGATAAGCTTCAAGTTTACTGTACATGTGGTTCGTAGAAAACAGCCTCAAAAATATCGTTTTTTATTAAAATGACTCGAACAATAAACATAACCTAAAATGTAAACATTGTCTGATTTTACCAATTTGGCCATTGCTGGGAGACCTGAAAATTGGGCTCATGAAACCTTCTTAGGTGTTGTAATTTATGCCCAAATTCTAGCACTGTAACGTCAGGCCCAAGTTTGTATGGATTTTGGGTTTGTCCTTTCCCACACTTATAGAGAATATAGAGAAGGAGTGCAGAATGATAATAGTTTTTTTAAATTATGCATAAAAAATACATTAAATCAATAAAAAAATATTAGACAGACTACCATGTATTTGACACACACGTGCACGCATACTATTTGTTTATTGTCAAACTTTTCTTATTGCTTAAAGTCTGTGGTCAAATTGAGAATAGATTAAATATTGTTTGTCTATGATTATAGAAGTATAATAGTCTTTGAAAATAGAATCATAATTTCGACTACCAGGGGACCCCTAGTAAATACTGATACTTGAAAATTGTCAACTTGGATATTTCGACAAGTCAACGACCTACGTCGCGCGTAGGTAATATTGTCATCTTGCAAAATAAGTACAATATCATAATGACCATGTATAACAACACATATTTAACGTGTATTTGAAACATAGTCGTTGTCTCAATGGACTTTAACCTTTTGACATCAAGGTCGAATCATTAACGCGGTTATCTATGTCTCTTCTAATATTAACCTGTGTTGGACTGTGGATGTGTGAAGTAAAAAAAAACTTATTAAATTAACTTGGTTCGCGATACTGTGCTTAATAGTACTTTTACTCATCATTAATAAATAAATAATAAATATTTACTAACAATCACGCCACGTTAACTGGTCCTGTGATAAGTTCGTAAAGAACTTGTGTTACAGGTACCAGATGATGGAAATAAATGTAAGATTTTTTATTATACACATATTTAATATAAATCCATAACCCTGGAAAAGACATTTATATTTATCATACAAATATCTTCCCTTGGCGGGATTCGAACCCGCGACCCCCTTGTGTAGTGACCATGTCGCTTACCACTACACCAGACGGCCGTTAAAAATTAAGAATATTAATAGTCGGTACAGAAGTATGTTTTACTAGAAAAACAACTGCGAACGTGTTTGTTTATCACACAAAACGAATAGTGCCACAAATTCAAAAATCACATTTCAGAGTTTGGAACATCGGACGCTTTACCAAATTTAATCAAAGGCTTGAGAATACCAGACTCTTATTAGTAATTTTTTTGTTTACGTTTGTTCCTTCTTTTCAGTTTCACAAGCGATAGAATTCGGTACGAATGGGTGCGCTGGTCCAATTCAAGTGAGCGCCTAAAATCTCTTGAATGAAAAAGGGCAAATGATGATCTTTACTTCCAGTGAATTTAGATTGAAGTTAATAGTGTAATACAACGCGATAGTTTAATTAACTACAATTGTGAAGGTCATAGATAATAGCGTTTGTTAAAATAATTAAACCTTTAAATTGTTTTATCGGCCGATGTTATTCCACTAGACTCTATCTTATCACCCTATTAGCGTGGTGAATATTTAAATTCAAATTCGTTGATGTGATGGTTCTCTGTGAAGAAAGATACTACCACTACTGCAAAATAAAACAACTTTATCAGCTTATAACATGAGACTTTCGAATAAATATCGATATGTTTCATAATTATTTGGTTTGATAGAGAAAATCGCTTTGCTTCTTAAGGGTTGCAGTAAAGGTACAAAGAGGTAAGTGAAATGAAATTCACAAAAAAAAAAAAAGGAATTTCTCTTCAAATGTCAAGACCTTCGAGAATTCTCCGTTAACGAAACTACATAGTTACGCGTTACGTAAATTAATAAAGCCGTGAACGTTTAGGTGGATGTGTGTATCTAACGTCAATAAACTTTGATCAACATTCGTAGTCCCGGCGGACGTTACCAGAATTAAACAATTAACTTCAATTTATTATGCCGTTTGACTTTCGGTATATCGGGTTTCGAATCGATTTCATGCGTGATACAACTTAGATGTTAAATATTCGGCGGTGTACGTGATGTACATACTTTAAAACTTTTCTTCATTTAAATTGCTGTTTGTTTAGGTTTACGTTCACACTTAAGAAAAATCACCTATTTTTTTAAAATTTCAGAAAGTCAATTAACATCCTATTTTTATTTTACTGCAATTTTATCACAAAAACAATTACTAATTTAATTTTTTTACATTATCATTTGTTAACGTAATTGTTACTATTGTAAATTCTAAATTGATTAATTATTTGTCAGTAAATTGAATTTCAACATGGCTTCACTTGTTCAATCATCTGAATTTTGCATCCCAATAATTAATTAAATCTTTCGAATTATATATTATTGAATTTTTTTATATCAATGTCTACAAATACTTTAAACTTTATCTAACGCACAAATATTATTTTTATTCGTCCCGGAAGACATTTCGTCAAAGGAAACGCGTAAAGCAATATCACAAGCAATATAAGCTTCCTTAAATTAGTTTACACAAGCGTACTATTAAATGTTTTTGTTTTCTTTACTATTTAAAGATACACGGGAAGAACTTCACCAGTCAACGTCAAATATACACACTAAGTGGAAATAAAAATGAAAGGAAATATATCCATACATTATACTGTTCGAGAGAGTAAATGAAACACCACGTTCTATATTGACTAGAATCACGTGACTTTCATTTTGTTAGCTATGCTCTCCTTAATATTGAATATTTGTCACAATCCTTTATAAGATAAATATGTAGTATTATCAATATTGTCGTCCATAATTATTATAAAATATTTTTTTTGTATCTCAGGAATGTGGACAAGATAGGACCATAATAACAAATTACATTATACAAATTACAAAAAAACAACAATTGTTGTTTTTTTTTTGTTGGTTATCAATATGTGTAATTTTCAGATGCCTGATGAAGGTCTAATAAAAGACCGAAACGTTGCAAAAATAATAATGTTAAACTTACCTAGCTGGTCTTAAGTGAGGATACTCCTCCGTGCTGGTAACTTTTACGTCCCAGACTTTCCTCCAGGCTTCGTATAGAGGTTCGTGTACGGGATAGACTCCGGAGTGGTGCGGGGACACGGAGTAACACGAGTTCGTCGGGATCCCGTGCTCTAGAGCGAACTGTTTGTTCAGCATCATTTCCGCTTCGAGCTGAGACACGTTGTTGTACAGGTGAGGCTGTTGATGGTTCCACATGTGGCAAAACCTGTTGACGAGATAAATTATCGGAGACGCCTTTTTTTATTGCTTATATAGGTGGACGAGCTCACAGCCCACCTGGTGTTAAGTGGTTACTGGAGCCCATAGACATCTACAACGTGAATGCGCCACCCACCTTGAGATATAAGTTCTAAGATCTCGGTATAGTTACAACAGCTGTCCTACCCTTCAAACCGAAACGCATTCCTGCTTCACGGCAGAAATAGGCAGGGTGGTGGTACCCACCCGCGCGGACTCACAAGAGGTCCTACCACCAGTAATTACGCAAATTATAATTTTTTCGGGTTTGATTTTTATTACACGATGTTGTTCCTTCACCGTGGAAGTCAATCGTGAACGCCTTAAGGATTTGCCAACATTCAGCTTCAAGGAAAGAAGTGTATGAATTCAGAAACGATTTTTTTAGCGGAATAAATATACTGGGTGTTAGGAGGTCGCTTTTGATGATGGGACAGAAAAAAAATCAAACTTGATTAAAAAAATATATATTTTTAAAACGTGTTATTAGCGTTATTTACGCTCAAGCACGGGCGCGGCGCAGACTCGTGCGCGATCGTACAAATGCTTATGTACAACATTTGTCTAAATAGCTCCACCATCAAAGGTGTCATTAGTACTATCATCTATCTTCGTTTTCGGAGGCGGTCTCCTAACACCCAGTATAAAAGTCTAATCACACTCCATAGAGAGACCACATGTGGCCAGATTCATATTTAGATAAAATTACAAAGTAATTCTGTATGCAGTTTAAAATCCATAAAAATAACTAATTAAATTACCAATTAAAATATTCCCTATGTTTTAACAGAGCGTCATCGCCGAGGTTTTCCGTTGGCGTTCCGTGGTGGTAGTACTTCGCACTGTAGCCGAGGTTGAACCTGAATCCCGGAACTAAACGCTGCAGTGCTGCCTGCGACGTCAATAGTGCCGCCACGTCTTCTTCGTGAAGACGGGTACCTATACAAACGGGAAGTAATCATATAATATAAGTATAATATATATAACAAAACTAGCTGACCCGGCAGACTTTGTAGTGCCTCAATCGACTAATAAAAGACCTAAACTTTTGTATAAAATAAACTTAAAACAAACAAAAGGAATCCGTCCGACGGGGGACACATCAAAGGGAAAACGAAATTGTTATTTTTGTTTAATTCCGAGCATTTTCACATTTATCTACCTTTTAAACCTTCTCTGGACTTCCTCAAATAATTCAAGACCAAAATTAGCCAAATCGGTCTCGAGTTTTAGCAAGACTTACGAACAGCAATTCATTTTTATATATAAAGATAGATAGATAGATAACATAAGTAATCATCAATAATATAATATTTTTTTTTTTTTTTTTCACATAAAATCTCAATAAAATTGAGGGGTATAGATATCTTTTTTCCTGTGAGCAACGGGACGGAATATTTATCAAAGCCGACACAAGTCGAGGAAGAAAACACAAATTAATATAATTTAAGTAATCATATCGTATAATCTAAACCGCTACCATTAATACTTTTTTGTGCGGAAATAGTAAACTCATATTTACTGTTTGGTGTGTAACGAACCGTAATTAGTGTTTTGAATTTTTTAACTAATGTTGTTCCATTTCGCCTATGCGGATGTATCACTAATTAAGCGGCCACTATTTTTAACACTTTTAACATTAACGTGGCACTTATCGCAACGGGCAAATTAACCCACATTGAAACAACACCCGCAAATAGCGGTCCAACTAACCATTAAGAGATCAATTTAGCCTTCCAATGCTTGGTGAGAAGAAAAACAGGACGAGCGTTTCCAGATACTCGTAAATATTAAAAACAGTACTTAACATAACTTGGAGATCGTGATTCAATGCACGGAAACCGCCAGTATTAATAGCACTCAGTTCTGTGCATACTAATTACTACGACAAAGGCTGTATAGCCCTCTATTATTCAGCGTTAATTGATTTTGTAGTTGTACGCTCCTGTTTAGATTATGGAGAGCACCCTTTTATTGTCTACCCACAAATGTCAGGTATTGTTCGTCGAAACACGATACGTTGACGGCCTTAATTGAGGTTCGACGATGAGCGTCCATTGGCGGCTAATTTATAAATATATAAGAATATAAAGTAGGAACAAACAACAGCACTTATACTATACAGAATTGATTCAGATCAAATTAAAATAAACAATAGAAAAAAATACTAGAAATTTCCACTCAGAATAAATGGTTTCCTTTACAAAATTTCAAAGAAGACTTTTAAGTTGGAACCATCATAAAATTATATTAACAGATAACGTATGCTTACAATATGTCATGTTCCATGTATGTATTTATATCATTGACACGTTCTGTTATTTTCAGACGTCACATTGTTGTTTCGTAACGCCTACATACCAATCGCTGTTTTTATGAAATGTATACCTACCGTGCTTAATTAAATTCATGGATAACTACATTATCATTCAAATACTTTTGTACGATAAAAATGAAATAATTTTGTGTAGTTTACATTTTTTTCGGATGTTTCACGGTTTATTGCAGACAATTTAAATCTGAATTATGGTCACGAGTAAAGTGAAAAGTCATAAATTTAGAGTCATTTTTCTGTCGGACATTGAACTTACTCGTTCAGCAATGTTTTGAAAAAAAAAAAGTTTATATTTATTGAAAATTCAACCACCTACCTTTCTCACCGACAAAGATGTCATCGATATCAACCAATATCCATCGATCCAGACTCAAGCTGAGCTGCCCGTGACTGAGGTAGCTTAATGCGTCCAGAAAAAGCAGTCGATGCAACCAGAACTGTAGACCACTACCGAACAGAACGCGTTGGACGCCGTCCAAACGACCGTGGTCTTGTATCACAGTTGCCAGCGGCATCCGCTCTCCTGTAAACAAACCGTTTATTTCAGGTCATTTGTACATTATCTCAGAACTGTGTCACGAATTGGAAATCATTTGTTTTAATTTCCATATCTTAATTTGAGCATTTTTATCATTAAATCGAACATTGAAAACATTCATGTTAATTTATAAAAGCAATGAAACTTATACATCTACTATCTATAATCTATATATATAAAAATGAATTGCTGTTCGTTAGTCTCGCTAAAACTCGAGAACGGCTGGACCGATTTGGCTAATTTTGGTCTTGAATTATTTGTCGAAGTCTAGAGAAGGTTTAAAAAGTAACTAAATATGAAAAATGATCGGGATTAAATTAAGTTTACGTCTTTTATTTATCGATTGAGGCACTACGAAGTCTGCCGGGTTGGCTAGTATTTTATAAATTCACAACGTATTGTGCCATTAATGTTCATAAAAAGAAACAGTCGTGTGTGTCACTGTTAAGGCATTTTTGTGCCTGTCGCATGTGATTAAAAATTAATCAATTTGCAAAGTATTGTTATCTGTATTTTTAATTTGACTAATTGAGCAGACATTTAACACGAATACATGAGAATTTTACGGACTATAATTTCACGAATTAAATTGTTTTGAATTTGTCAAATTTAAAGTTACAGTTACTTGTTTCTATAGGTGTTTGTACAAAACTTTCACAGCACTCTGAAGTCGTGAGACTCCAATTTGAAATAAATTGGACCGAAAAATTGCTAACGGTTGTTCTATTCTAAAATATTTTTGACATGAAATGTCCGTCAGGGAAAGCAGATTTTTAAAAATTAAAAATAATTTAAATTAAGTTCTGAAAAATGTTACTTAAAAAGGAACCGTGTGTCTCTTCTTACGTCTGAAACTCGCGTACGTAAAGCAATTGTTTGTTTTGAAAACCAATTTAAAACTTCAATTCAGTAGACGAGACAGAGAATAGAAAAAGGGAGTGGCAAACAAGATATGTACAAATATAATTTCAAACCGCTTTCTCAAAAGTAGTTAATTTAATGGTATTTGCATAAATGACATGAAACAGGAAATTTCCATTTGTATTAAATAAATTTCATCCTTCCACGTCTATTTACATGATAATTTTCAGTGTAATGAAATCTACATTATTTTACAAACATGACTCGGTAATTTACTTCAATGACAGAGTTATTTTTATTGTTTACCTTATAGTTTTATCGTTTTAAGCAGGCAGTGTCAAATCAACAGGAATGACAGGCAGGAATGGCGCAAGATGATGCAGGAGAAAGTGATTAGAGGAGGCCACGACCCTCAGCACTGAGGATTATCGACGCAAGGAGGAGGAGGTCATATCAAACTTTCTGTATTGTTTTTACGCGTCTGTGTCCTAAATTTTAGTTTTAGTCGCTAACGTTATCTGTTTAATTGGTTCCATTTAAATAATCGTGTTTTACATTGTTATTTAAAAATGACTGATGTTTTCGTTACGATTATTACAATTTACTTTTACTTAGAACCTTTGTCTCAATTTGGGTGACGGCATTTACGTTCTCAACGTATACGGGCTAGGGTAACCACTTAACAACAGATGGGCCATGAGCTCATCTATCCATCTAGGCAATAAGAAAACTTAACTTGTACTTTACTGGTGATAACCTAACTCAACTGGTGGTAGGACCTCTTATGGGTCCGCACAGGTAGGTACCAACACCCTTCCTAATTCTGCCGTGAAGCAGTAATGCGTTTCGGTTTGAAGGGCGAGGCAGTCGTTGTAACTATACTGAGACCTTAGAATTTATATCTCAAGGTGGTGGCGCATTTACGTTGTAGATGTCTATGGGCTCCCGTAAACTTAACACCAGGTGGGCTGTGAGAGCTCGTCCATCCATTTAAGCAATAAAAAAAATATAGCTGCATTGCTACTGATTTGTTACAAGACTGACACATTCCAAGAAACTTGAACTTGTCACAGCAAGCACAGCTTGTCAATTAACATATCGATTACGTGTGTTGTATGACAAACACAAACTCGTGAGGCGCCTATATACACAGTACCGAGAATTTTAATATAACGTTTTCGTCGTATCTCCCATTGGACCTTTGCTGAGGAATTTTTTTAGGTACTTTGAACCCAGTGCATCTTGTATACGCACATGCATGTCATACACCCCTAACAGGTTCGTATATTGTTATTATAGCTTTCAAGTTTGGCAACATTTTTAATTTTGTTTCAGTTTCCTACATTTCCTTTTTTTGCTTTGATGGGTGGACGAGGTCACGGTCCGTTTTCATTGATTCTACTTTCCATATATATATATATACAGTCGTGGTCAACTAATTAGGGACATTCAAGATAGTGAAGGGCTATAACCGGTTATGTACATTTAAATATAAAGCCCTATTGATTTCTCAGCACCTATTATTTGCATAATGTGGTCCGATTATTATGCTATAAATGGCTGTAAATAATAGATTTAATAAATAGAAAAAGTATTTAATATCAAAGATTGAACATGTATTAAATATTGAGGTACAATTCTGTAGTGGACATTTAATTAAGGACAGTAAAGTATAATGAAAAATACAGTTACACAAAACTTATAATCTTCAGTGTTATAATATCTTTAACAGCTCCATTTTATTACGTGTAAAATCAGTACCCAGTAGCAAAACCTTTGTTAGTAGTTACCACTTGACACCGAAGTGGCATAGACATTATCAGTTTCTGACATGTTTCGACAGGAATGATTGCCCATGCCTCACAAAAAGCTTCATGAAGTTCATCCAAATTTGTATTACGATAAGTGGCAACTTTTTTCTTGATTTCGTGCCAAAGGTGCTCAATTGGGTTGAGGTCCGAGCTATTTGCTGGCCAATCTAGCACCGATACAAACTGACTGGTAAGAAACGACTTGACTGAATGGGCGGTATGTTTCGGGTCCTTATCCTGCTGAAACGTCCATATAATAGGGAGATGCTCCTCAGCATAGGGAAGCATAGTTTCTTCCAATATTGCCTTGTATTGATGTTGGTCTAAGTTACCCTGAACTTTCCTCACAGGTCCCACTCCACGTCCAGAAAATGAACCCCATATTTTAATGTTTCCACCGCCATGTTTCACCTATTTTTTTGTGAATCTTGGATTCATTTCCACTTTTACAGGACCCGTACATATTGCCTTCCATCTGAAGAAATCAAATTAACCTTGGTCTCGTCAGAGAAAAGTACATGTTGCCATTGGGCGTAGGTCCAATGTCCATATTTACGTGCAAATGCCAAACGAGCATTTCTATGTTCTTTCTTCAACAACGGTACTTTGCGAGCCACTCTTCCGAACAACCCTGCTTCGACCAAACGTCGTCGAACGGTCCTCGCAGATACACCGGCTCTTTCGTTTGCCCCAAACACTTCGTGTTTAATTAAAATAGAGCCTAGAAACGGATCTTTCTTAGCTAACCTGGTTATCATTGTATCTTGCGGAGTCGTTTTTCTCGATCTCTTTGTTCTGGACACATTTAAAGCTGTGTTATAGCGCTTGAAATGTTGCACTGCATTGCACACCATAGTTTTTGAACAATTTAAATGTTGTGCTATCCTTCGGTATGACCAACCACGCTCGACAAACTTCATGATAATTTTTCGTAGTGTTGGATCGCAACTTTTATTTTTGCCCATTTTTCTTCAAAATATTTCTCAAAACTTAAAATAAAAAATCTGGATTGCCGCCAAAACGACCACTAAACAATAAGAACAGAAACAAAAAAGTATTAAAATTCCAATTCTGAAATTAGAACGCAATACCTCAGTGTCCCTAATTAAATGGCCAGCAGCATTCTTTGAACCAATAGCACTATGACATTGTATCAGCTATACTGTAAAGAGGTTTAATGTTTAAGAAGTTGTTTTTGTTTGTATAATCGCGCACATAAATGACTAATTACACTTACATGTAAAAGATATGGAATATTGCTAAGACTCGTTGGAAAATAAAAAAAATATTCACAATTTGACTTAACTAGAGATTGTCCCTAATTAGTTGACCACGACTGTATATTATTATATTTTAATGCTTTGATGTGTGGACGAGCTCATAGCCGACCTGGTGTTAAGTGGTTACTGGTGCCCATAGACATTCAGAACGTAAATGCGCCACCCACCTTGAGATATAAGTTCTAAGGTCTCAAGTATAGTTACAACGGCTGCCCCACCCTTCAAACCGAAACGCATTACTGCTTCACGACAGAAATAGGCAGGGTGGTGGTACCCACCCTCGCGGACTCACAAGAGGTCCTACCACCAGTAAAACCATATAAAAGGGAATAACTATTGATGTTTAAAAAATGTATACACATACGTACATTTATATACATTATATAGATACGTTTATGTATGTATGTATGTCGTATGGAGATGAATAGGTTGATGGGGTGGTGAGGTGATCCTTAAGAATTAAGGCAGGTGGAAAATTAAGAAAATACATTGATTCATAAAACGAAATTTGTATTTTTAATATGAAAACTGCATTTTTATTTGGTTAAATTTTCTAAAAATATTATTAGTAAATTAATATTCTCATATGTCAAAGCAATATCTCGTGGCTATCTACCGTATTAATGTATCTTTAGATAGGGGTATTACCTATTTGTAGGATTCGAACTACTATGGCATCGCGCCACGTCATTCGAGTACCTATCTATGTACATCGGGTGACCTTCCCGTTGGGCCTTAGATGTTTCGATCTTAATGTGGGTGACATCATGAAAAATATTATGCATTTAAATTTTTTTAATAGCTTCCCTTTGCCTTTATTAAAACTCGCGTAAATTCGTTTTTTTCGAATTTGTATGACAAATTTTAAATAAACATATCTATACTAATATTATAAAGAGGAAAGATTTGTTTGTTTGTTTGTTTCGAATAGGTTCCGAAACTACTGGACCGATTTGAAAAATTCTTTTTCCATTAGAAGCCGACATTGTCCCTGATGAACATAGGCTACTTATTCTAAAAAAAAAAATTTTGTTTGTTTCATGTGTGTTTTAATGTTTCCGAAGCGAAACGAGGGCGGGTCGCTAGTTATATTATACAACTGTAAATTATTCAGAAGTAACCTTCATCAATAAGAGCAAGACGACAGTTTGTTATTAATATTAAACAAATTTGTAGGAAACAATCATTAGTAGTCCCCTTACGGATGCGAGGCCTCTTATATTTGTGCTGTATTCTAAGTATACATTGCACTGAACTGAGAACAACACATACGACATACGTTGATTTTCAAATTCAAATTTGGACCTCGATCGTTTAATGAAACAATATGTATGTATACATAATAAAATTTGCATTAAATTAGTTGTCTTGTACTTCATTTTTTTATTAATGACAAGAAAAACATTTTTTTATTATTATTTTGTAAGCACAAATTTCTTCTCGGCAGTAATTTCACACTAACATGTGGGGTCAGCAAAAGTTGCCAACAAGTATACCCATCCCACTCTCCTACATTATTAGTAATCTCGATATTCATATTTTCGCCGTCACACATTCGTTAATAGCTTACCCATCCCTTAGAAACATTTCCGTTTTCTACCACTCCTAAATCTTTCCATTTAGTTAATTGTATTAATATTCATTCTTGCGGTCGATATTTCGAGCCGTGTTCCTCAGTAACTTAGTTATTTGGAAGGTATGGTTGGGGTAGACAAATAACATTGCATATTTTTCTTACAACAAATTAGCGATTATGTTGTTTCTTTTATTCTTTCACAAGTACATATATACCTTTGATATTCTATTAACTTTAATAATAGCATCGTTGTTTATGAGTGTTTCACAATGTCATTATAATATTTATGTTGACGAGCATTATTAATATAATTAATGCCGTAAAGAAAACCTCGCCCTTGGCAAAGGTGTAACTGTGAACAGACAGAGGAAAATTACATACAACGCATTACGTAAATTTCCATAGAAGCAATTTATGTGATAACTCATAATGATATGTTCCTTAACAGCCCATTTTCTAGTTATGGTAGTGATAGTTTAGCAGGTAATTAATTAAGCACAAGCCCTGCTATGTGATTCGGGAAATATCCCTTTATAAATGCGACTCATATTCCTATACGTTAAAGAAGTATTTACAAAACCCAAGATAAAAAGAGGAAAAAATAATGAAACGAAACTCGAACGGCAAACGTGATCACGTAAAACGTATCAACTAATAAGATTATAAAATTGAAAAAAATACAATAAATAAATAAATATAATACATAGAAGCCACAAACTTTTATTATTGCTACGCTTGTTAACTTTAAAACGATTTTAAAAATCAATTGTCTGGTACTTACAACGGCAAGACATTCATTATTCATTAAAAACATTAACGATGTATGTTCCCGCGATATATTGAACATATAGATTAATAAGAATACCTAATGTGGTATGCAGAGATATTGTACAGAGATACACTGTAGTGCATAAAGTTTATTATGTTAAAACAATATCAAACTAGGTGTTGTATACACATATTCAACTGTAGGCGTGACATACAAACTTTTCAATAACAAAATCATAATTTACTTCCAGATATGTTTTTTTAGGTATATTAATATGTGAAGCAAAAACTTTGTACCCTTTTTAACGAAAATTGCGCGTACGGAGGAGTATGAAATTTCTCACACTTATAGAGGAGTGCAGAATGTTAATATTTTTTGAAAATAAGCATCAAATTTTACATTAAATCAATAAATAAAAATATTACACAACACCACCATGTATTTGACACATACACGCATACTTGTTTATTGTCAAACATTTGTTACTGCTTATACTCTGCGGTCAAATTGACAATAGATTAAATATTATTCGTCTTTATTATTATTTGTCTAAAGTGTAGTTTTGGCGAAATCTGTGATTATAGAAATGTAATACGAGGGCTGCACTAAAAGTATCGGGAATGGAATATTTCCACTGTTCGTCATATTAAAATCTTTTTAATTGAAAACTCCTTGGTTTTAAAAATCGAATACCATTTATTTATTTAAAAAAAGATTCTCAGTGTTGTCACGAGATTTTGTCAAACTTGTTTAGTCGTTGAGAAAGTGGAATTGACTCAAGAAAATTCAAGAGCGATGATTTATTATGACTTTCGAAGTGGTTTAACACAAAAATAGTGTGTTGACCGGATGATTTCTGCATTTGGTGATGAAGCCCCATCCAAAACCACAATTTATCGCTGGTTTGCTGAGTTTCAACGTGGACGTGTCAAGCTCAGTGATAATCCCCGTCAAGGTCGTCCAAAAACTGCAGTCACCCAAGAAAACGTTGATGCTGTGCATAAGCTGATTGAGGAAGATCGACATGTGACATACCGCGAAATTTAGGCAACTTTAGACATTGGCATGAGTCAAATACAAATAATCTTGCATGAACAATTAGGTGTAAAAAAGTTGTTTTCCCGATGGATACCGCATTCGCTCTGTGAAGAGCAAAAAGCGGCTCGCGTTACTTGGTGCGTCAGAACTCTCGAAAGATTCCACGCAGGATCCTCAAATGCTGTATACAACATTGTATCAGGTGACGAATCCTGGATATACGCGTACGAACCCGAAACAAAAAACCAGTCACGAGTTTGGGTGTTCGAAAATGAGTTAAAGCCAACAAAAATTGTTCGTTCACGGAGTGTTGCAAAAAAAATGGTGGCCACGTTTGTCTCCAAAACCGGCCATGTTACGACTATTCCTCTTGAGGGACAAAGAACGGTTAATGCAGAATGGTATGCTAGCATTTGTTTGCCACAGGTCGTTTCTGAACTCCGTAAAGAGAACTGCAACCGCCGCATCATCCTCCATCACGACAATGCGAGTTCTCACACCGCGCACAGAACAAAAGAGTTTTTAGAACAAGAAAACATAGAATTATTAGACCATCCGCCGTATAGCCCCGACCTAAGCCCTAATGATTTCTATACTTTCCCTAAAATAAAGAATAAATTGCGTGGACAGAGATTTTCATCACCTGAAGAAGCTGTGGACGCCTACAAAACGGCCAGTTTGGAGACCCCAACTTCCGAATGGAATGGTTGCTTCAATGATTGGTTCCATCGTATGGAAAAATGTGTCAAATTTCGCGGAGAATACTTCGAAAAGCAATAAATACATTTTTAAATAGTAATGTTGTGTCACTTCGTTATTTCCCGAAATATTCAGTGCCGCCTATGTAATAGTCTGACAATACTCGTAGAATCATAATAGTGTAAAAACTTATAATTTCAATTAATTATAGTCAAATTTCGACTACCTGGGGACCGCTAATCATATTAAAAAAGCCTCTATACATTCATGTTTTGTAAGTCATCTTATAATCCGAAGATAGGTAACGTTAAATCATATCGTGATATGCTATATCCTATCATGATATGCTGTACATCATCTTATAGGAATATCGCCTATTTCTGATTAGTAAAATTTCTACTCACCATCAGTTTCATAATCGTGTTCTCTAAGCGCCCACGCGATAGGTTCATAGGTAGAGCTGTTGGCTCGGAACACCGACCAGTGGTCACCAGGAAGCGCGCCCCAGGCAGTTTCTCCAGCACGAGCCAATCGCAATACGGGTGAAGCAGCGTTCAACGTTGCATCCTAAGCAAAAAAAAAGACCGATTTCGGAAAGAATTTGATAAGCAATAAAAAAATTCCAATACTTAATTCACGTTTAAGTAGCTGTTGCTCTGTTAATACTTTGTAGAGTTCAAAAGGGATCGATAATTGAAATACGTGACCGATAACATCCCAACTCACCTTCAACCTCAAATTAGTATGCATGAATAGTGGAAATCCTTTTAGCTGTGCGCCGACCAAGGTCTCTTCGCTAGGCGTCGCGAAGCCGACTACTCCAACGGAATACTCCCGACAGTATTTGTCGAGTAGCTCTCGATTCCATTTATCCATATTGGCATATTTCGACAGAGATTCGAACACGATCACGCCGTAACGCCCCTTGTCCAAAGTGGTGAGTACAGGCAGACTCTTGCCTGCTACTTCAACTTTGTACCTAAGAGAAAGGATATGAATTTGAAATGTATTGTTTTCCGATACTTGCAACTTTAGTGTTATGTGTTCTCGTGACCACATGCCGTTATTGGCTTAGGATTGCGGATGAGTCGTAAACGCATCCATCACTTGTGTCATTAACAATAAAGCATACCATATGATATCAGATTGTTTTGAAGTCATGATTATTGATCGATATGTTTTATACGCAAGTACAATATTAAAAATAATGTAAAGATTGATTTCGAACTCGTTTATGATTTTAAATTTCCGATATCTTATTAAAGTAATGTTTTAAATCGTGCCTAAAATTTTCAAAAATGCCATTTTCAATCATTTTACTTAAACTATTTAAATTAAAGAACAATATTATTGTAAGAATTTTTACTCTCCTGTATGGAAGTCCATAGACAGAACACTAACGATCTTTCTTGTGTTAAGGTATTATTGTATATATCAGATTGTTAATGCCACCTTTCGTCTTCAGATAAGCCCATGGAAGATAATTTATTCTTTCTTCATGAGAACGTACGACTGCTTCGCATTAAAATAGGCAGTTAGTGATGACATCACTATAGGTTTAGCTAAGCTAAACATTTTAGATATCAGTAAGTTATTCTATACAGTTTTACGTTACGTACGGTACTATATATTTATGGTATATATACCTGATGAATATATCTATGACAAATAAGTTTTAAAATTGTTCATGGAATACATGAGGGTGGTGTGATAAAATATTGTTAGTTTTCAACAGGAAATCTGACATCGCATATATGGTAACGTTTTTATTTATTTATTTATTTATTTATTTTTATCATGTTATATGGGTTAACAAGCCCTCTAGTATTCAATGGACCATAGACATGAATGATGCCACCCAGCTTGAGACGTGAGTTCAAAGTTTATTAAATAAAGTCTGTTACATCCTTTGAAATGGAACGCCTGACGAAATTGCGACAGGAAAGACAGGTTGGGAGTACCTTCCCGTGTCGTACGGTTCTAAAAATACACGAACAACTGTCATCAGTTACAGTAGTATTTTTTTTGTTTGAGGACGAGCTCACAGCCCAATTGATGTTAAGTGCGTAAGACGTAAATGCGCCACCCACCTTGAGATTTAAGTTCTAAGATCTCAGTATAGTTACAACGGCTGCCCCACCATTCAAACCGAAACGCATCACTGCTTCACGGCAGAAATAGGTAGGGTGGTGGTACTTATCCGTGCGGACTCACAAGGGGTCCTACCACCAGTGTAGCAATTACTATATTGCGTATTTTTTATGTGGCAATTATAATAATGACTTCATAAATTAATTAATTTAGATTAAGTAACATCATTTTCATTCTACAACCAGAATACTTGATTAAATAAATCATTTCATATTGAAAGCCTCGAGACATAATACCAGTATTGTTAAAGAAATTGGAGAGGAAAATAATTGTATGCCTTCGTCTTCAGATGAACGAGCTTATTATTTAAGATCAATACCGTGAAAGAGACGAGAACGTATTTAGAAAACAACACAAAAGCAAATTTCTAAGAGTACAGAAATTATTTTTATTATTGTAATGTTGCTTTTACTTCAATAATTTTCGGATAGAGAATTTTTACGATAGCGATATATTGAGATTGTTCACATTTAATAAACATCTCGAAGATATGATATTAAATTAAGAAAATAATCAAAACGAAGCCCGACCCTTGTCGTACAGTTGTACAATTTAAATATCTTGACCCCATCTCCAATAACAAAACGGGGTTCTGAATTGATTGGTTATACCGAAAATTGAACTGTCCAAATATTCGCCTTTGGGATGCTTGACAATTTTCAATCAAAAACCTATCGAAATTCGTAAAGTCTGACATGTGCCCCTATTCCATACAGACCTTTAAAAAATCGTTAGTAGGGAAATGCACTGAGCACAAGTAGATTTTTTTTATTTTAGGCAGCACGGAACTATAGCGAGTTAGTTGCCCTTTTTCTCTTGCAGGGGCAACGTTTCAATTTGGCAAGCGGAGAGTGCTATAGAGCCTATGGGAATTGCCACCCGAAAATGGCATTTAGGTACTTATCGTGCAGCATTCTCTTCCTACTAGCGAATGTAGGTGTAACACAGAATATACTGGAACATAAAATAGCTGTAGTTCATAATATAGCTATGAACTATTCTATTAATATCAAATGTGAAAACTACTAACAAGGTTTTTACAAATTTTTCTAATTAAAAATACCGAGAGCTCTATTGGACTTAAATGTTCTTAATTACATTAATTAATGTGCTGTCATTATACGGAAAATAGCTTGCTTTAAAGTAGAGCACACGAAACGATCTACCTCGTCCGTGAACTGAATGCGACGAGGGCTAATTCGCGATAAGGGGCGCGAGTGAGTTCAATAAAGGGGAGCAATGTCACGACGCGTTCGACCTCGGCGACCTACAGCCCCTAAGGATACCATTTCCGTAAATATACCCGTATAACTGCTTCACAATTAACTACCTGAAGAAAAAAAGGCTCATGAAACTTCTTTAAATTCGAAATATGGATCTATCCGACTTAAGAGTCTGACGAAGGCACATTGGGGATTATCTGTGGACGAAGGGCAATTAACTCTGGTATGTATTCACAAACTTTCAATGTAAGCATCGTTTGTTATTTAATATTGTAGTTTTGGGCTGACCCGCTTTGTTACTAACATTCGATTGAAACTAAGGAATTTGATTTTCAACATAAATAATAGTGAATAATTAAATTGTTATCGGTGGATAGCTGACGTTTTAATTTCGTTAGCTTTTGAGTTATGAGACTTGCTTCTAAGCTGAAGTCATCGTTTTAATTTAATTAAAAAAACCGCGTATAATACGAAAAAATAAACCAAGTTAATAGTGGCCTCTTCATATTTTTCAAGGTATGTTTGTGTTCTAAGGATTATTGAGTAAATCTTAACAGTCTACCTAATTGCTACAAGTGCTTTTATGAAATTGATCAGAATCAATAGAAATTGATAAAACAGTAGACTTGTTTTATATAGACATTGATTGAAATTTATATGTTAAGCAGTAAACTTGTTTTACATAAAAAATTGATTATTTGAACGAAATTGGCGTCTATGTTTACAGAAATTCAATTGAAATAAAATATTAATGAAATTGCAAAGTAAAAGCAAATTACAACAAGCAATATCGTGATGAAAATGACTCGACTATCTATCCTACTATCTATCTATACGTCAGCGTTCGGACTGACTTAAAGTTAATTCTTAAAAATACTTAATTACTGCACATTACGTCGTTTTGAGTGAAACGAGCGTTAATGGAGAAAGAGGCAGTGAGATAAGGCGGGCTCAGAGGCGACGCGCCGCAACTGGTACGCCTCTAATGGCACTACTAACTAACTGTCGCCGTAACGAGTCACTGCCGCGTCACTGCGGATGACTCCAGACTCACATTGCTTGCCTTTCACATTAGCGAGTCAGCTGTCACACTGTGCTTTACCTTACATTTAATCAATCTTACATGGTTGAATCATACGAACCAAACTTGTCTGTAGAGCCGTGTTTGTCTTTCAATTATCCATTAATTAGACCGCAATGAATTACTAGGTTGAGGTTATTTGAACAATATTTGGGTCAATCGGAATTTGGTGATTGAAATTTTTCGTAATATAATTTTGATATAGATATATTGATTATTCAAATTTTCTAATTTCAACGTCCATAGCTATTTTATTTATTAATTTAACTGGTTTATTTTACATTCGTTTAAATAAAATTATTAAACCTAGATTTCTATTTAACTGTAGACTTGATAACTCTCACAGTATTTCTAATTCCTACAGGCTGGTAGTAGCGATTTCCTAAGCATTAGTTGCGTTTTTGTTTAAGAGGTACCGTGAGCACGTTTCGTAGTGCACAGTTAGTTTTAAGTACTCACATTCAAGGTAATTTAATTAAGTCAGTTTTGTAAGACCGCTCAGTGCTATTAGTGAGGTAAAATTATCTTCTGTGTTACGACAAAAAAATTACACTATATTACTTTATAATGATATTCTTTAGAAGTTCTCCTGTTCCATCTAAAATTTTATTATATTAGCTTGTAATTCGAACTTTAGTCCGATTAAAATTACGGATTTCAAGAAAGGAAACCGCAAAATCGTCTAATTAGGGCTTTGGGCGATATTCTTCATTCGCTTTCAGGGTGTGGACAGACATAGTGGTTTTTTTTTCCTACCTATGCTGATAGCCTTGAGAGGCTATTTCAGCTTCGCCCTAACGTGTAGGTGAGCTCACGGGTCTCAAGCCGGGGTGTTGCTAGCACTGGCCCTAGCAAGAACAGTGCTTCGTAGAATCTACCACCGGATGGGAAACGCGATCCACTGAGAAAATCCGGCGAGAAACTCAGTGGGTTGTATCTATGGGTTAATTCGCCCGTCGAGCCCTTCGTTGCAAGCGACGGGTTCGACGAGGACGGTGACCGGTACTTGTGGTGTGTTTTATTAAGAACTAGCGGACCCGGCGAACTTTGTTCCGCCTTAGAGGTTATAAATGAACAGATTTTATCAAGCTCAATGTTTTATTTGGATAATCAATGTAAATTAAAAAAGCAAGTATTTTAATGATTCTTTATTGGCCATGTATTTTAGTTGTTATTATTATTATTATATTTTCTTGTTCTTCTACAGTTCTTTCACTCGCTATTTTTCGAATCCTAGTTACATTACGGTTTCGTCGGGAAAGATTTGATCGTGTTGGTCACGGCATGGCTTTGTTAATGATTACCTATCTCGGCACAATAAGCTAATAGAAACTCGACACAAACACATCAACCGGTCAACTTCAAAATTCTAATAGACTTACCTAACCATAGACTACATTAGGTTTAGCTGTCAGTTGAGTTTTGTTATTCCATATCAGTTGAGTTTCGTTATACCGCGTTTTATGTCACGTCCCACGGGAACGTGTTAAAAAGTATCCTATGTCCTTCTCTTGGTTCTAAGCT